ACCCTCAGTTTATTATCATCTTGTTGATTGTATCTTAATCTCTATGGAAGCCATTTTAAGAGTCTGTGTGCTGTCCAACTTTTGCCAAATGAATAGTCTGAGTCAGAAAGAATAAACAAATCTCATTTTAGAGTTAGCCAGTCTAATAAACACTGTGTGTAATGCCTTTCCAGTCTCTCTGTTAGGTTAAGCCCTCTACATTTATGGGTGTAGAACGAGATGAGCAGCGCGTTTAGAGCAGAGGTTGAATGGAGGAGTATGTGAGTAAAAGTTTCGGCTAAAGTTTTCCACATCTTTCTTAGATTCATTTTCATTTTCTGTCATAACATTAAGATAACTTTTATCTGATAAATGCAAGACTCAACAGGAAGCCTTTATAAAAAATAATCACAGATTAGGAAAACTACTTAGATGAGATGGGATGAAACTGATAACTAACATAGTTGTGATATTGACCAAAACTATGTTTAATTTTGCTATTTAACGTAGACCAAAGTTTTGGCACTGAATAAAGAAAAACATGGGAAAATTCACTTTTAGTTTGCACAAGTTTACTGCCACCTAGCGGCCGTTGCAGAAATGTCCTTTTCCCAACCTGTTTTGACTTGTATTCATTCCCCTTTGGGCATTTTGTCTTAGCATGAGTAATCCTCACAATGAAAACTTTTCATTGAAAAGTATTGATGATTGTCCAAATTTGGAACGCACAATAGCTGAAATAAAGACTATTTTACTTAATTTTTTAATCTTAGCATTTAATTTTTGTGTTATTCTTCCCAACCGGAGATACGCATACTGTACACATAGCCCCGGTTGGAATCACTGATATAGAGCGAAAGGATACTACTACTACTACTACTACTAATAATAATAATAATAATAATAATAATAATAATAATAATAATAATAATAATAATAATAATAATAATATTAACGTGTATTAAATCAATACAAAAGATTTTGATGTACAAATGATTCTCTAAGAAAATAATCCAAAGGTTGTAAAATAATCTTCACCAATATGTTTCTGATCCACAGCATTACATTTGAAAATGGAAATATTAGAAGTTCCAAAGTAATGCTTAGTCATTGAGAAATTAAATATCAAGAGCAAAGGGCAGAAAAATGAATAACCCTTAGTACATATAAAGGTGTTCAATAAGTCAGTTTATAAATGGATGTCATCTATTTTCTGCAATATATATATATATATATATATATATATATATATATATATATATATATATATATATATATATATATATATATATATATATATATATATATATATATATATATATATATATATGGTACAGATTAAAATGTAATGTTTTCCTTAAGGAAACCTTTTAGTGATTTTTTCCTGAATTGATTTAAATGTATATGTTATTTTTACATTATTTAAGTACTATATTGGGAAATAAGTGGCTTGGAATGTTTTCTTTTTCTTATCTCTTTTTTTTTTTGCACTATATCTTTATCGGTTTCATGTAAAGCCAAGCAAAAACAAAATAAAAAGAAGAAAACCATAAATTCTAAAATGACAAACTAATGTAAAATCTATTTATGTGTTGCTATTTTTTCGTGTTTTGTGCAAATTTGCATTTCATCATAGATCAATGCATTTTTTTGTATTGTAATTATTGTTATAGCTCATTTATCTGTATTGATGTTTAAAATAAAGTACATTTTTTTTTGTGGCTGTTAAAACTCAAGTTTGCGTTTTGTATGTCTCGTGGGACGCATTGTATGTGGGACATATCTTGGTCCACTATATTGGAGCAAAACACAGAAAGGAAACACAGAATCTCTGTGTGTCAGCAGTACTACTTTAATGCACTTATGGTAATGCTGCAGTAGTGGCACTCGGTAGGGCAAGCTAATTTATCATATGATATTAGAAAAGCTTCAAAAAAATAAAATGACATTTTTCAAATAAAAAGTAGCATTTTCAAATGACAGATTACTGTTAAAAAAAAATCATAATTCACTCAAACTATTCCAATGATACCCCTTTTACACATCATGTACACTGATTACCAAAACTGTGTATAAACCCCTTGTAATGAGATTTAACTCCAGTTGTAGCACAGAGTTAGGTAATGGTCTAAGGAAGCTGAAGAAGCCCTGATAGACTGCTTCAGCCCACTCCATGGGATGAATTCTGCTATCTTGATAGGGAAGACATTGATGGAATAAAGGAATGCATCACAAATTATATCTTTTTCTATTTTCGTGCTCTACTCGAACCATCGTCAAGGACAGGTGTTTCACCACAATAAACACTAGATACACCCTGTCATGAAAGCTTTACTCAATGGGGAAAAAAATACAAGTTTTTGGTCAGGGGAGAGATAAAAAAAAATTTAAAAGATCATAAAAGATAATAAAGCAGGCATCCCCAGCCTTGGTCCTTGAGGCCCGCTGTCCTGCAGGTTTTAGAAGTTTCCTTGCTTTAGCACAGCTGATTATAATGATTGCAGTAGACTAAAAGCCTGTTAATCATCTTTTAATTCAAATCAGCTGTGCTGGAGCAAGGAAACCTCTAAAACCTGCAGGACAGCGAGGACCGAGGTTGAGGATGCCTGTAATAAAGCAAAATCATCAGGAGAACAACAGCAATTATGTTTAAACTATTTTGGATCAAAAACAGGGACTTGGACTGAGTAAATGAACTGAATCTTAAGCCTCAATGATCTTCACCTTCTGGTGAAGTTGACTTCAGTTGATCCGCTAAAGTTTCCCTAAAACTGGAAGGACCATGCTTTAATCTACCTGCTACACTAGACGCTGACCCACCTGGAGAAACATGGGAGCTGTTAGTTTTGCACCGATACCGATACCAGTATTGGACAGGGCCCCAATCCTGCACTAAAATGGTGGTATGGGCAAGTACCAACTAGAGGTGAGTAGTGTTGCGATTCGATACATGTTGCGATACTTGGGTCACGATACGATATTATCACGATATTGCAGTATCACTATATATTGCCATATTTTCCTCAGCTATCAAAATCAAATGATGAGATAAAACAGCAAGTGCTGTATATTTTCATCAGAAAATATTGATTAGATATTATTATCCATGTTGTTTGGGGTTTT